GGAAGATCATAAATACATAAAACCGAAGTCTGGCAACGCCTAAATTGTTTCAATAAATTTTTTAATACTAACTATTTTCAAATACATTAAAACGTAATAATTGATAGTTTAGAACATTTTTTAACATAGTAGTTACGTTATTAAGTGTTCAAAATGTGCTCAATTTGTGAGTTGACAGCACCCTAATCGATGGTAGAAACCGTCTACCACATTTCTCCATGATTGTCTAGAATTTATTCGAGATTCATTGATAATTCGTTGCCTTAGCTCTGCAAGACTTGCTGGTTAAGTTTTGTAAACTGAATTTTTCAAGTATCCCTAATAAAAATAATCTTTAGGATTAAAATCGGGTGAACGTGGAGGCCATTCAATTCTACCTTGTCTACCAATTTATCGTCCAGGAAATATCTCATCTAAATATCGCCGAACATTTACACCAACTATCTGACGTTAAATTTCTTTCGAGAAAAAATGACCCAATTGAATAAGTAACTACTATATCTGACCATACATTTAATTTTTGTGGTCTTTGAGTATGGTTTCTTCTTAGTTTACACCAGATACGTTTATCTCTAGCATTTCAGTCATAAGACTTTAGTGTCATACTCTGTTTGTTTCAATTACCCTCAATAAGTCCTATGGTATAAACGAAGGACAACAGTTTATTGACAGTTTTAGGATTTCTTCTGGTTCAATTCTCGGTTGACCAGTGTATTTCTGTAAATATAATCAAACAATAGGATGTGTATGGTCGTCTCTTTGGTAAATGCAATTTTTTTAAGTCCAAAACAGGATGGGACTTCCCCACACTAAGACGTTGAGGTACGAACAGGACAGGAAAGATATAGCAAGATGTCATTCGAACCCTAAGGTCAATGCTAAGATGGTGACTGCAAAGTACGTTTCTCATTTTTACAAAGGCAGCTCGGGCTTGTTCTATTCTTCTTTTAATTTCTGCGGTTGGATCCCAGCTCTCATTGGTATTACTCCCGAGATACACGAGTTTCTCTACTCTGTCCAAATTAGAACTAGAGTATTGATATGCTACACACTGTCTGTGCTGTCATATGAAGTTAAAGACTGATCAATTACGGATGTCACTGAAAAAAGTCTTGCATAGCTTTGATGTTATCGAAGAATATGGAAAATTTCATGGATATAACACGTAACAATCGTAGGGAAGACTTGAAAATTAGGAAAGATAAAAAAGAAAAAGAAATACTCAACACTATGAAAGAATGAAAATAAGCTACTTTGGTCATATAATTACTAACAAACGAAAAAATTAATTCGACGGGTTTCCAAGGAAACATGAAAAAAAAAAAGACGACCAGATAGATGACCCACGTCTTGGTTGAAAAATGTGTATAAGTGGAGTATTTATCTTCTTCTTTTTGTGCCGCTCCTATCGGAGATTGGAAATCATCAAGGCTATTCTGACCTTGTTTACGGCTGACCTAAAGAGTTCATTAGTGGTGCAGCCATACCACTCTCTCAAATTCCGCAACCATGACATTCTTCTACGGCCTGGATTCCGTTTTCCTTCTATTTTTCCCTGCATTATATTTTGAAGTAATGCGTATTTATGTCCTCTCATCAGGTGACCAAAATATTCGAGTTTTCTTCGCTTTAGCGTTAACAAAATCTCTGGGTCTTTTCCTATTCTTCGTATTACTTCACAGTTTGTTATTCTTTCAACCCAACTAATCTTCAGCATTCGACGGTAGCACCACATCTCGAAACTTTCAATATTTTTCATGTTGTTCTGTTTGAGAGTCCAGGCCTCTACACCGTATAATAGCGTGTTAAATACATAGCCTCTCAGCATTCTTAATATAATGTTCCAATTCATATGGCGTTCGTCAATTTCCATAAAGCATTCGATTCCATCGAATTATGGGCAGTGCCTGAATCTCTAGAAAATCCACGCATAGATTCAAGATACATTAACATAATTAAAAACATATATGAAAATGTCACCATGCATATAAAGCTGGACGAAAGCACAAAAACTAATCCCATAAGACTACAACGGGGAGTAAGACAAGGAGATACCATCTCTCCCAAACTATTTACCCTTGCTCTAGAAGATATTTTTAAGAAACTGGAATGGAACAATAAGGGTATCAACGTCGACGGATCATACTTAAACCACTTGAGATTCGTAGATGACATAGTTTTAATAGCCGATAATAATATCCAAGAACTAAATGATATGTTACAACAATTAAATGCAGTTTCAGGAGCGGTAGGCTTAAAAATGAATTACAGCAAAACAAAAATACTGAGCCGAGACCAGACAAATATAACAATACAAAATCATACCATAGAAAATGTGGAACATTATGTATATCTAGGTCATGTTATCAAACTAGGAAAACCAAATCAAGATGCTGAAATTAAAAGAAGAACACAACTGGCTTGGGTTATGTTCTTCTCCTCCATTCAACCTCAACCTCCATTCCTATAAACTTAAAGAAAATGGTGTATAACACATGCATACTACCTGTTTGTACCTACGGCTTGGAGACAGTAGCACTTACCAAAAAATCTGCCAAAAAATTAGAAACAACGCAAAGAGCAATGGAACGAATCATGCTTGGAATATCACTAAGAGACAAGATTAGAAACACCGAGATAAGACGTAGAACGAAGATTGGGGATATTGTGGAAGAAATTACAAAAATGAAATGGCACTGGGCAGGTCACGTAGCCCGATATAATGACAACAGGTGGACACGGAGAATTCTAGAATGGAGACCAAGGACGACAACAAGAAGCATGGGAAGACCTCAAAAAAGATGCGTAGATGACATAAGAGCAGTGGCAGGCAAACAGTGGATTAGATGTTATTAGTGGTGCAAGATAGAGAAAGATGGAAGCAATTGGGAGATACCTACATTCAGGAGTGGATGGAAAATGGTTGACAAAGAAGAAGAATGTTAGATTTGCTAGCTGATCCCCAGAGCTGCGAACTATATGACCAAAGGGGTTTTATTGTAACTTTGTATATTAGCAGCTTATTGTCGATCGATAGGTGTGAGATTTTCCCAGCATCCAGTAAAGTTTTCTGTATAACATTCCCAGTTGTAGTCTTTTCGTCCATATATGTTTGGTCCATGGTAATCGTTTGTCCAGATGAATTCCTAGATACTTTACTTCATCCTTTTGTTAAAAGTTAAAATAAGAATTGAAAACCAGCAATCTGATACCTTCAAAACCAGCAGAGGTGTACGACAAGGCTGCATACTATCTCCAGACCTGTTCAATTTATATGGAGAATACATAATGAGGAACGCACTCGATGGATGGAGAGGCGGCATGTCCATTGCAGGGAAAAAGATCTCAAACTTAAGATTCGCAGACGATACAACACTGATAGCAACATCTGAAGAGGAGATGTCGAGACTGATAAAGAGAGTAGAAACCGAAAGCAACAAGTGTGGGCTTAAGATTAATAATCAGAAAACAAAAATCATGATTGTGGACCACGCGAATATCCTCCAAACAACAGGCGCCCTAAATCAATTCGAGAAAGTAGACGAGTTTACGTATCTAGGATCTTCCTTAAGCAATGCAGCCTCCTGCCATACGGAAATTCGCAGAAGAATAGGAATGGCCAAGAACGCGATGAGTCGACTGTCAAAAATATGGCAGGACCGCTCTTTGTCCAAAAAACTCAAAATGAGACTGGTACGGACACTCGTTTTTTCAATCTTTAGTTACGGTGCCGAAACATGGACAATAAAATCAGAGGATAGGAAAAGGATTGACGCATTCGAAATGTGGTGCTGGAGACGAATGCTACGCGTCTCGTGGACGGAGCACAGATCCAATCAGTCGATTCTCGAAGAGCTAAACATTCAGACCAGACTCTCCTCTCAGTGTCTTGCAAATGTTTTAAAGTTTTTGGCCACATTGCGAGAAGAGCCAATGACAACTTAGAAAGACTAATTGTGTGCGGAAACGTAGAAGGACGTAGAGGCCGAGGACGCTCACCTATCCGATGGTCAGATCAAGTACAGAAAGCCACTGGAGAGACGTTTTCCGAGTCCATGAGAGCAGCCCAAAATCGCAAGAGATGGAGAGAATTGACAGCCCGCATTGTAGGGAATCACGATCCTCAGCAATGAGGAAACGACAAGAGAGACAGAAGTCCTGTATGCCACACTTTGTCAAAAGCTTGAGAGGCATCTAAAAGGGCTGCAGTATAGTATTGCTTGTTTTCGAGACTAGTTCTTATTGTTGTGTATAATCTGTGAACTTGTTCTCTTGTAGCGTGTTGGTTACGAAATCCGAATTGATGTTGAGATGTAAGACCCTTTTTGTCCAACAATGCTTTGATATTTATCAACAGAAGTTTTTCAAAAACCTTAGAAATGACTGGGATTAAACTAATCGGTAGGTATCAGTTGACATCTTTTTAATCTTCACCAAGTTTTTGAATAAGTAATTTTTTTTACTTAAACTTTAAACTTAAACTTTAAATGTGCCTTTGATCCTGCAAATTGTCTATTTATCGAATATGCGGAGACGCACTAGTACGATTTCGACACATTGCCTTCCGAGTATATATTTTCAAAATTGTAGAAAGTAACTTCCCCATATACGAAAATATGAATATTGTATTAGATGGCTTTTTGTATGTAAAGTAATTATGCCTATTGAAATCATATTATATATTAGCTAATATTGAGTTATTATGAAAACCATCGATTAGATAATTTTGAAATCGAAACAAACACCCTTTTCAGATAGTTTAAATTAACTAAATAATACATATGCAACAACAGAATGGAGTAGTTTTGTAATTTAGAATTTAACATTAACATCAAAGAAGTTAATGTCAAATTTGCGTATTTTAAAAACATTAATGATCTTTGAATAAGTAATGTACGAATCAGATTAAAAAAAAATAAAATATTGACATAATCAAATCACTTTCAGACACATTTTATTCAAAAAAACTGCTACAAAGAAGAGTGAAGCAATTATCTTACCTTGACTAAGTACCCTTGAGGTTTAACACTACCATAGTCAGTAGGCAGTTGCCTAGCACCTATAACTTTCACTTTAAGTTCCTTAGTACTCTCACAAAACGAAATTCGGAAGCCAATTTGTGGCACCCCGCCGAACCTTTGAACAAATTCCGAATCGTTGGATTTTTTTTTGAAATATTTTCTAACACTATTTAGCCGATCTTCCATGTCGATGTATGTTGTTCTCTAGCACATGACTGACCAATCAAAGGCAATTTAACCCAATTGTTGAAATTGAAAAGGACAACAATACGCTTGTTAGTTAAGCCGAGTTTTTTTTCGTGTCGTCGTTCGGTGGTACTTGCGAGTGATCTGATCTGATACGTACTGGAGTTATCACGGTTTATCTTATCTCGCGTTTTATTGAGATCATTTGTTGGAAAATTATTATTGAGTAGTTAATTAGTTTCTCTAATAGCTGCGGGTTCTGTTTAAAGTGGAATTTACGGGGAGTGGTTGATAACTTTTACATCATGTCTAGAAGAAAGATGATGATATTTTGAAAATTTTTAAAAATATTATTTTTTTATTTACAAAAATCCTCTTTAACCTAATAAGGTCAATAACCGCTTTTCTTACAAATTAATTTAAAAAAAATCTGTGAAAAATGTGACAATTTTTTATATTGGCATATTTTAATAAATAAAAGTAATGCAAAATTAAACAATATAAAAAAACCAAAATTATTATCCCGAGTTATCTCGTCACAAGAAAATTAAGTGCTAAAAGCGTTGTTTTGTTGAGAAATTAACTATAGGTAACCAAGAAATGACTGACCAATAAGAGGCCTAGCAGGAAGGAAGAGTAAACTGCGAATAAAAACTAAAATAAGACTAATAAATAGTATAGTCCTTCTTATACTAACATACGCGTCACTTGCATGGGGACACATATGTAACACAACAAAAAAGAAAATACAGGCACAACACAACAAAAGCCTAAGAGAAGCGGTAAACGTATTAAGATACGTAGCTGAAAGATTCCTATTCTGAGAACTACAGCAAATCAGAGTGACTGACACTATGAAAGAAAAAGCCAGGGAAAAGTTAGCAGAACTAGAAAATCACCCCAGTCACATTCTACGAGAGATAATGAGGTATGACGCTTTCCACAGATGGAAGCACAAAAGACCAAAACAACAAATATTAGATTAACGCAAAACCAGAGGGAAAAATAAAAAACCCCCCAATAGGGACAAAATATTACAAAAAGCCCAGAGTGAGAAGAAAAACCAATCAAAACACACACACACACACACACACACACACACACACACACACACACACACACACACACACACACACACAAGGAAGACAGTTCGTAGCTCAAATCAACCAGAATATCGCAAATCGCCTCATACACAGTGGGCCCTGTTGCCCACACTAGGATAAAGTCTATATTGTGGTAATGTATAATATTTATATATTTTCTTTATTATAGTGTAGACTGTATACTAATTATGACTTTTCTGTTCACAGGTGACCTACAAAAAAAATCACAAAAAACACAAAAAACGGCTTCGGCCACCAAAATAAAAACAAAAAAAAAATACCAACAAAAACCGGCTTCGGCCACCAAAAAAATTAACAAAAACCCCAAAACCCGGGCACGTAGGGCCCAACCCCCTTGAGCACCAAGTCGCCGAACTGAGCCGGGACTCAGAGCGGAGACTTGAGGCCCAAGTAAGCAATTTTAGTTCGCGGATAAGCTACATTAAGATAAACAGGAATAAAGCGGAGATGCGCTGTCCTGAGTTTTCACATACGGTTAGGAAACCATGTTGGGGTTTAATTACCCAGGACCTCCACATGAAGAGCACTTGGCTGATTGTTGTGCCTCTATAGCGAATCAGATTGCTATAGGGGGGAAAGGGATGGTCTAGAGCATTGGAGCACGGTGGGGTGATTCCTGTTTTTAAACACGAATTAAAACACCTTGCTCCAATGAATTGTTACACCCGATCGTACTACCTGGGTGAACATTTCTCATAGGCTGGGTTCAATCAAATTGCTTGCTTGAGAAGTGACTGACAAAAATGACCACAGTGGAGACGTAAACGATGAGAGGGAAAAAAATAATATACCAACAGAGGTTAAAAAACAACAAATCCCCTGGAGAAGATGGTATACCCCCTAAGCTGTTAAAGTATGAAGCAAACGCCCTAAAAAATACGTAATAAAACTTGCTGCATCCATTTGGAGAGAAGGAAAATTCCCAGACAGTTGCTATTTTAGGCTCAATCTCCTCATTAAATCCACAAAACAAAAAATAATGAAAACGTATTAGGATGATTCGAACGAAAAGTACTAAGGGAAATCGATGGAGCAGTGAATGACAATAGAGTGTTGAGAAGACGATACAATTTCGAACTTGATGGAATATACTGTCGCCAAGTGCTCAGTCAGAACTGACCAATGAGCATTTTTGGCGCGCATAGCCCCGCCTACCTTACCTTTTTCTATTTTATATTCATCGTTTGGCTTGGAATCTTGTAAAATATTATGTATAAATATTAGTTGAATTCCAAGCCAAAGACGGAACGGGGAAGGAACGGGGTCATTTCTCAGATTCCTTTACTCCTACAGCTGGAGTACCTCAAGGCTCTGTACTGGCTCCCATACTATACACAATATACAATAGCGACTTTCCAAACCCTACATACACCAATACTACCACGTTACTCTACGCAGATGACACCGCCCTAGTAACTACAGCGAGAGACGTTGATTCTGTTCTTCGGTACACTCAAAATCACCTTAGACTAGTTGAAAACTGGTGCAGGAGATGGAGAGTGTCACTGAACCCGAACAAAACTCAAATGACTCTCTTCAGGCATCCAAAACACAGTGTTCGTGCCGCCTCCTTTAACGAAAGAAACTATCTTACACTCTGGGGTGACCGACTTCAGCTCCGTGATCAGATCGAGTACCTCGGTGTGGTGTTCACCCGAACACTAAACTGGAGGGCTGATCTGAGAATAGCCTGTAACAAGGCTAGGTCTTGGTCTCCTCAATAATTTGAGATGTAATTTCGGGGCGGCACAACCTCGCACACTAATTTTCACATATAAAGCATTTATACGACCTATTTTTGAATACAGATCTAACATTTACGCTACTTTGCCAGAAGTCGTAAAAGAAAATTTACTTAGAATAGAAAGGTCAATTCTGCGTAGAGTAAACGGCAAACGTTGCGACTACCCTTCCGCCCTTATTCATCAATTATCTAATATCCAGCCCATAAATGAGAGACTACACTCTCTGAGCATAAGTTACACTATACGCACAATCCAGGGCCAAAACCTCAGAGCCCAACGCACTCTAAAAACTGTCTGCTCAATCCGCGGCAATGTATTCACCAGACATCCTAAACCTAAACTCCCACACCTACCCGCTATTCTACTGGAACTTGCCAGTAAAGAACTCCCTGATGAATACATTGACATACAGGAGGCAACTCCCCTCTATTTCCGTCGCATTCCTAGTTAAATTGCTCACTTCGAGCTTGCCTAGACAGGGAGGATCGGTTTTCTGCGGTTTCCCGATCCCACTTGCAAATGATACCTGTCTATTGTGAGGATACAGCCGCAGCGGCCATCTCGCGCCGCGTTTTTATTAACATATTTACTAATTACATAATATATTAATGCATGTATTTATACATATATTAATATCTCATTTTTCTACATTTACTAATTTAACAAACACTAAAACAGTAATTATTTTAGACAACAATTCTGAAAAGAACCGACCAAAGCCTTTCGCCACTGATTGTCCTGGATCGGCTCCACCAGTGGATCAACGAAAAAACAAACCAGAAGCCAACCACCACAAAAACAATAACCACATCCTGAAGAGGCAACAGCCTAAAACAGGATGCCAAAACCTCAAAAAAGAAACAACATCAAGAAAAGAAAAACCAACGCGACAATGAAGCAAGCCAAAGACACTTCCAGTTCCAATTTTACCTCGGTCTCTCCTAGAGCCCTAAACCCTAGGGAGCCGACTAGCGGGGCTCTGCCCCAATCTCACCTAGACTCTGAGGTTATTTTTCGTCTACTTCAAACTGTGTTTTATTTCATTTCTTCGGTGCTAGTGCACAAAATAAACCTACGAATATTTTTGTCATATAAGAAAATTTACTTATCTTTTTCAAAATTTTTTTGTCTCGTCTTGTAAGAAATTGACTGTATCTTTTTCAAGACGCAGTCCAACTTTACATCAACATCCGAATCTAAATTGGATAAGTGCCTAGGATATTTCGTATACTACACACGAATACCCTAGTGCAGAGCGTAAAGCGGTGTAAGACAATTTTATAGGTCTTACTTCCGTTAAGACGACAATACCAGGAACCATATATCGTAAAACATATTAAGATTGGACCTTTGAGGTGGATAGGACTTGTAATGCGGATGGAACAAAATGACCCAGCTGGAAAAACGCTCCTTAATGGTCAGAGAAGAAGAGGAAGAACCAGAACAAGGTTTTTTGATAACATCAATGAGAAATATGGGAATACGTGCTTGACGGAGAAAGGCGATGGATAGGAACGACTGGAGAGAAATTCTTGAGAAGGCTAGGACCCACGCAGGGTTGTAAAGCCAGAATGTTGTGGCCATCATTGATATTTGGGTTTAGTTTCACTTTTAACTTCGATGCCCAGCGCAAGCAAATTATATTGTCGGCTTACAGTCACAGTCTCACTATTACGTTGAAGTAATTAAGCCAGATAGACATTTTCCGAATGCCGTGTCGAACCACGCCGTGTTTTTAAGTGTTGACGTCAACTAAATGATGTTCTAGCGTTCCACTGATTTTCAACAACTGACTTTGCATCAAAGCAAACGCGACGCCACACCGTACGCTTGGTACTGAACTGGCTCTGAACTCATTGCGAAGCTTTTCGACGTTCCATTCATTCTTGTCTGTGGGTTTGAATTTAAATGCTTTGCAGGTGTGTACTTCAAGATATAATGAACCGAGGAGAATAGTTTAATGGCAATCAAAATTTATAGGAAAATCGACAACAGATGTTATGGGATACAAAAAGTCCCAGATATTATAATAAAATAAAAAAAAACGATGCATGGAAGGAGATTGCCGCGAAAATGGGAATAAAAACGGATGAATGTTTAAAAAATACCAATTGTGTATCTACAGATGAGTTATATGGAGATACATCTATAGATTACAAAGAAAAAAATGAAAAATGTAAAAAAAACTACAGGGACTGTTTTCCACCTTTTTGTTTAAGTATTTTTCGTTTTATTAGCTTATTAATGCATAAAAATATAGGCTGCTGCAGCAAGG